TCGGCATGGCATGAATTTTGGTATGGGGATAGTTCGGTGGCTGTAGAGTGACATAGGCTATATACTACTATCCTGAACAGGCTGATATTGAATGCCCAGCACAGTCAACAAATTAGCATTTTCAGGGTGCTCGAATAGATGAGGGTCTTGTTGATCCTCTCCTGGGATGTGCTTCAAGATATGAGGGGAGTTCGACAATCATTTGCGCAACTCATAACCTCCGGACTTCAGGATGGCAATCAATTCGTCTCGCAATACAAGAGCCTCCTAGACGGTGGAGGCGCCCGTACAAATGTCGTCCATGTAGATCGAAGTCTCCAAAATAGAAGCCCCCCCGAGCGTATTTTAGACGATCTCTCTCAGCGAGTTCGAAGAGGGTTCGCATGGCGATATACGGGCTGAACCGGAGTCCATAGGTTCAACTCAAACACCTGTATCGGATCGCTTGGCTTCTCGCGCCACAATATCAGCTGATATCGACGGTCATCACGATGGACCACTGATTGTCGAAACATCATCCGAATGTCGGCTACAAAAACCACTTGGTGCCGACGGAAGTGGGTCAAAATGTCGGACAGGTCCTTGATCAATTTAGGACCAGAGTGGAGACACCTTTTCCAGAACCGCTAGATGACGTCCGAAAGGCACACGCCCGCCATAAAGAGCGGGTCGGCCGTCTGAGGAGGTGGAGGCCACAGAACCGGTCCAAAGAAACTGTGCCCAAATACAGTGGACATGGCTCACAAGTCATCGGGCTGTAGGGCTCGTATCTCATCTATAGGGCCAGGTTGGGACCGTTGAGGGCCTGCCGGTTTCAAACCCGACGCACAATGAACCGCGCTGTCATTTATACGGACTTCAGGGAGAAAACCTACAATGTCATCGAGGACATTTACTTTAACTAGAATGTGAAGGTGTTCGCTGGCAGGGCCAACCACCAACTGCGCTTGTCCCCTAGAAGCAGGAGGCTCGGCACCTCCGATACCTACCATTGGACGTGATTCAGAGCTCTAGGGGAGCCCTAGTCTTCCCACCAACCAAGTGGAGGCCACACAGCGTTGTGAACCCGAATCGAATAGAGCCCGAACCGTTAAACAGTCGCCACTCGGGTTGTACACCTTCACTGAGGCCGTCGGCAATAGAACAGTTTGACAAGTAGACTCTTGACGGCTCAAAGGATCAGTGGGGGCGGCCGTGGTGGGAGCTAGGGCGGCAGCTACCTAGCTGGAGCTGCCTCCATCGGACCGGCACTCGAGCCGGGGGTCCCGAAAGCGGCATTCCGGCGGCATCTCAATGACCCGGGGTTGAAAATCACCGAACGGGCCGACCTGGGAAGCTTCGGGGAACCTCGGCCTTGAGGATCGGGACAGATTTGAGGTCGCAGGAACCCCGTAGTACCGGTACCGACCAAAGGGGGGAGGGTGGTACTCCAGTCGCGGCCACTCAGCTAACGGGGGTGAGAAGGGTCTAGCTGATCGCTGAGTGGCCGTAAAGTTCCTCTCAACACGCTGAGAGTGGGCGACGACCCCCCGACTGGTCGAGGGAGGGACCCCCCTTCAAACCCAGGGGCACGGTGGCCGGCAGGGGAGCGCCGAGCGTCACCCGACAGAGGGCGTGGCTGAGCACCCCCGCCGGTGGAAGTTGAGGGCCCGGCAGAGCCCCGAGAGGAAGCGCCGTTCGCACCCAGGCACAAAATGGCATGGTGGTTGCCCTGGCAGTGCGCACAGGGCTGCTGGTGCGGGCAGTCTCGTTGGAGGTGCCTTTCCAAGCACGAGTAGCACCAGCGGCGCTCCTTGGCGATGGTTCGCCTCGCCGGGACCGGTTTACCCAATAACTTCGGGCACAACGTCACCCGGTGATCGGATGCTCGACAATAGGAGCAGGGGGGCGCCTCCCTGACCGCTAGGCCGCTATAAGATGGTAGGGGGCGGCGCCCTCCCGCTCCTATTGTCGAGCATCCGATCACTAGTAAGTACAAATTACTATTAAATTAAATTAAATACAATTACACTACACGGCAAATACACACTACAGTCGGTCAGCAAGGATGCCTCGCTCAGGAGACAGATCCTTCGGCAATTTAATCTACTTACCCGAAATAACTGACGCGTAGGTTACCTAACCCTAAACTACACTCCTGCTTGCGCAGCCTAACAGGCGTGGTTCTAACCACTGATCCGCTAACAAAACAAAAAAAATATTATATTACGGTCGGGTGTGATTGGAAAAACAATCAACTGACCTGACGTCACCGATGTAATCGGCCAAAAGACCCATATGCGTTGCCCTGCTCCACAAGGTGCAATCAATCCAGTGGGCGTTCACCGTTATCTGAACTCAAGTCCAACGTCACTTAGCACAAACTAGAATCGAAGAGGCACGCGATCTCCTCCCAGGTCACAAAGTTTAGCGTTCCACCCGACAAAGCAAAAATTCCCTCGTACGATATTAAAATATCACACGAGCAACTCGTCGACGCAAATTAATGGCAATCGAAGTTAAATTAATAACTCAAACTCAACGAAAGCCTCGTTGTCACGTATACGAACGAAATAAGACAACGCAAAGGAGGCAGTTCTAACGTGACCTAACGATTCTAACGTAACTCCCGACATCTAACCGACACGGCCGTCGCGGACAATCGATTGTTACAGACTAATTGGCACGGCCGCCGCGCGCAAAACGAATGCCCCCGGCCCAAACCATCAAACAGGTTTATCGCCCGAGACGAGCGTTTTCGCAAGTTTTATGTTGTTACGATTTGGCCTAAACAGCATACATTCGCAAAGAAGGAGGAACGCATTCCATAGGACTCCTATCTCTAACCTTGCAACTTCTGAAGATCATAGACAAGTGGAACATAACACTTTCAGCCCAATATCTACCCGGCAGATACAATGCGATAGCGGACAGACAGTCGCGGAGACGTCCTGTACCAGAATGGCATTTAAAACCTCAGGCCACATCAGAGGTGTTCAGGCGATGGGGCAAACCAGACATAGACCTCTTTGCATCAGAAAGATCCGCTATACTACCAAACTATGTAACAATAGATTCACGAGACTCTTCCGCAATGTTCATAGACGCCTTTTCAAGGGAGTGGAATTGTAAACTGGGATGGATATTCCCCCCACTAAACTTGATTCCGCGAGTGCTCTCACACTCAACAAGTCAAGGGGTACCTTCCTGTTGGTAGCACCAGATTGGGAAAAACCGTTTTGGAGAGCGGATCTTCAGGCCCGAGCACTCGACAAGCCAATGACTGTGACCTCGTTACAGGAAGTGTTAGTGGACCTCACTACAGGGCTTCCACCTCCGCAAGTAGACAGCCCTGAAGGTTTGGAAAGTTGGGGGTGGGGAAATAAATTATTGTCGTGGTCCCAAGCGGAAAAAGATCTCCTCAAGTTAAGCTGGCGTCAATCTACCCTGAATACCTATAAACCAGCACTAAAGCGATGGATAGCTTGGTGCAGAACTAAAGAAATCAATCCGAAGTGCCCCAAACCAGAAGAGGTGCCACAGTTCCTAGCTGACACTTTTTTAAAAGAGGGTCTGGCATACAGTACGATTTTGGTACAAAAATCTGCTGTAGCAACATTCTGTGGAATTAAGGAGGACATATCCTCAAATTATCTCGTAAAACACGTACTTAAAGCTATTCATAATTCCAAACCACCCTACCAACACCGTATCAAACACGTCTTCATAAGCGATGCTGTATTTTCTGATAGACACATAATATAAACGTTTTACACAACAATAAAACGATTATTATGTGCTGAAAGAAAACACAGCATCGCAGGAATGCTCTTCCTGGTGAAGACTGCAATGACACTAATTGGCACAAAACACTAATATAACAGGGCGACCCCCTCCTTTCGGTGACAGTTATAAACAACAATAAAATTCTCATGAGTTGAGGGTATCTATGGATTGATTTACAATAGACGGTAGTATCAACAAAAAAGGTGAGCGCACACTGCTTCTTCATAAGCGATGCTGTGTTTTCTTTCGGCACATAATAATCGTTTTATTGTTGTGTAAAACGTTTATAATAATGTCTTCCAGACCTAGTTTCGGTCACGGCGGCCAGCCTCAACCGAGACCAGCCATCGGCACAGGACAGAATTATAGTGTCTAAGTGTATTCGCAAGCACAGGTGCTCTCTCTATTCCCTTACTCTCATAGTTCGATAAGACGGTAAACTGACACTATCGGAGAGAGATCAAGCGCAGGACCAACAGTTTTACGTGCTTTCCGAGGCACGGGGGTGAGACATCGCCAACTTTCTGACTCCGGGCAGCTACTGAGAATTTATTGACGCAAAAACTCAACAAACTGATTTTTTGGCCCGACTCGGGATTCTAACCCGGGACGTCATGATTATCAGTCGCACTACTACAACCACTAGACCAACGAGGCATTCAATTTTTTAAAGAATATTAACAATGCTAAACATTACTAATATTCCCCTTAACCACTCGTGGTAAAGCTTAAATTGTTTGTGTTACCAGTGGTTCACGCCAGTAGTCGAATGGCGGATTCGAACCCACGACCTTTTTGAGTTCGCAGTCCGCGCCCTGTCATTAGGCTACTGTCGCTTCATAATTAAATAATTATGTACGAATGCATGACAAGACGTACGTCAAACTGTTATCAGAGGGAGGGTCCTTTAATTCGAAAACAAAATACAATGATGAGAAAAGTTACATCGCCTCATGAAAGTGATAACTGACGCCTGCGCAGGCGATCGCCAAACATGCTCAGTTTTGCTTACACGGTTAAACTGCACAAGTATACCTACGGGCAAAAATATCATAATTCATATAGGATATTTTCGGGTTGCCTGTTTACAAGTGTGGTAACCTGTACATTTATGCAACATACACGTTCGGGTTTACCTCTCAGGTACACCGTAGCCATTGTATGGCTACCTTTAAAATTATCTTTGATAAATAATGTAATTTAGTATATATTTATATTTTAAATGGCGTTTTTAGGTATGGGCACATAAGTATGGAAACCAGATTGTTGTGTTTGCTATTTTTCAAGCAGTGGCAAAAAGATGTGGGGCAGAGTGTGAACTTATTGTATTCTCAAACCATTTGTTTCTGGAGTGGCGTAGCGACGAAAGCGAACCAAACGCCCAAGTGTTCACTATCAACGTCGCTACCGGTGAACTTGAGCCAAAACGCCGATGTCCATTCGCACAGAGTAACCAGAACGCCCGTTATAAGTACAGTGCAGATTCATTATTGCAGTGCCTTCACTCGTCATTTCTCAAGACCATGGGTGCTATAAAAAGCTGGTAAATATTAACGATAATTATTATAGTTACTGCTTTAGCTTCGTATGTCAGCATCAAATGAAAATAGACCTTTCAAAATGACCTAATGACATGGGCCTCTTTCAACATGGTACTAGGTATTTGGTAATTGCCGCACTTGGTAGCGTTATTATACATCTATAAATAAAGGATGATACTATCAGCATATGGTCTATATTGCTAATAATTCCTAAACTATTGTCTCGGATACTGATTTAACTATACTGGACACTCGGCGCTTTCAACCCAATCACACAGCGTCGTGAGCAAAAGGAAATCATTTAAGTTATATGATGGAAAACGCTGATGTTATAGCAATTGTAATTTTTAAGTTACATTATGATATATTATGTCTAGTGATAAGATTTATGTCTAGTTCTGAGATTAAAACAGACAATAAAGCCAACTGTAGAGTTAGACATTCATCGTCGTCTTAAGACAGTCTACGGATATTCTTAGTGTTCTATCTATATAATATATAAAAGAGGATTATTGTATATATGAAATCGTTTAACTCAAAATATGTTTGTGTGTATATATATTTCAATGGAGAAAGTTTATATTTATAAATTAATAAAAAATTGAAAACATGTTTTTTAAAAAGAAACATCATTACAGCATATCTGAAGTCCACTGCTAGAACATGGCTTCCCCCAAAGAATTCCATAAAGCACAGTCTTGAGCCATCTGTATCTTTTTCCGCTCCTCTTACCTACCAGGTCGTCACTCAATCTAATGGAGGGCGGCCTTCCACTACGCCACCACGTCACTCACCGGTACGAGATTTCGCTGCGAACAACCTCATTATTAAGTTAATTACGCAAAGAAATTCCGAGTATAGCCCTCTCCATAGCTTACCGAGTGACCTTGAGCTTCCTCATTTGGCTAGCAGTAAAGTTCCACGTCTCAGATCCATATTTTATCACTGGCAACACGCACTGGTTGTACACTTCTATTTTCAAGTTTTAAAGTATATGTGACGACATATGTCTGAATCTCCCAAACGCTGCGCAGTCGAGTTGGAACCGTCGATTGACATTTCGCTTGGAGTTCTTAGCCAATCTGACATTTTATCCTAGTTAAACATACTCGTCAAGAACTTCGAGCTTGGTAATGGCATAGACATTACATGGCATGGACGTTACACATAAGTTTTGTCTTGACTCAGATAAGACCCCTCTCTTGAGAGACACTATTGAGTCATTTAGTTCCAGTAATTTCGCCTAAATTACTATATCGGCAAATAATGTACCAAATTTATAAAATTTCTCCCCTTAATCTGCTGCTAATATTTCTGCATGCCTATATTTTAATATTCTAATATTTTCAATCAGCACTCATATTATATTAATTAACGTTATTATTGTACTTCTTTCTAGGATGACACAAAATGCGTCAGATCTTTTAGGATTCCTGGGTGGAAATAACAGCATTCATAGTCAATACGACATTTTTTATAAATATTTGTTCCGGCTTATTGATATGGCGGGCTTAAATTCAAATCTAAACCTGAAGAATGTAAGTGTTATGCTTAATTAAAATAAAATAACCAGATAAAAAAATTATCTTTAAATTCAACAGTCAGTTATCTTAAAAATTTAGAGTAATTGGTATTGGAAATATTTCTAGTATTGTATTGCCCGCCTTACTTCCGGGCATAGTATCAGTAATTTAAAGTAGCCTAGTTTTTAAAAAAATGAAACTGAAGTAACAAAAGAAACTTACAGCCTACTTGATGCTATGTAGCTACTGCAGTCCATCGACACCTGTAACCAACTTGAATAAAGAAGTCTGCAGATGCGTTGTCTTCTGTGGATTAAGATGGAATGCCTCACAAACTGTAATACAGGCTCATACACTCTTAAGACCGGAACAAAGCAGTCCAACCACGTAAGTGGGTGATACCTATGCAGAACAGTAGGCTGTACCTTACTGAGGAGGCAAGGTGGTCAAGTCCACCATTCGGTACCAGCCAGTGTGTCTCACTGGAAGCTGACAATATTCCGTTAGGACCGAATGTGAAGAAAGATTTAATTCATAATACCCCTAATGACCACATGAAGCCTGCCTTCTAGCTGTTTCGACTAAGGAATTTGGTCACTGGTTACGCTTTAGCATCAAGTAGTTTCTGCACTTTTCTAGACTGAGAAAGCTTAAGTAAAGCGCAGTACTCG